CCCCCCGAGAGCCCCGTGCTGCGCTGGTCAGCAGAGGAGAGCTGGGGCGCGTTAAATGGCATTTGGTTGGCAGGTCCCTCGGGAAGGTTTAAAAACGCCTGTATGTATAGCGGTCTTCAGAGGGCGCGAGAAGGATTTGAGGAAGCGTTGTACTTCTGGTTCTTTGGAGAGCATCTGAGACTTAGTAAATCAGTTAGGATTATGTCCCCCATGACGTTCAAGGCGTGTATACGCGTGTGTATATATAGGTAAACTCTTTAAGTTTCAAACCTGTTCAGTTTGTGGCTTTTCAGTAATCGCAGAAGGGTTGAGGTTGGCAGGAACCTCTGCAGATCATCTAGTCCAACCCCCCTGCTCAAGCACGGTCACTGAGAGCACATTGCACAGGATCGCATCCAGACAGTTTCTGAATGTTTCCAGGGAAGGAGAGTCCATAACTTCTCTGGGCGGTCTGCCCCAACCTCACAGGCTATTAATAGGCATGCCTTTGGGTACCCCCCAAAAATTTCAATGGAAGATTGTTTTTAAAGCATGAAAAAAGGTATTACTTGCTTTTTTTTCCTGCTCAGTATCCTTCTCAAAAAAGTACATTTTGTTTAAAAGTAACTTTCACATTGAGCTAATAGATATGAAAGACACAAGTAAGATGCAGAGCTGAATTATTTGTCTTTCAAAATAAAGTGCCTTTGAGCCTTTATCCTAAGGCACTCTTAAAGCTGATGCTTCTGACTGGAATAGAAGGCTTTTACTACGTTCTGGTAACTAACAAGTCTCCGAATATGAAATAAGATGTCTTCTATGTTTTTGTGTGTTTACAGAACAGACTTTTGACGTATGCTAGCTTTTTTAATCCTCTTACTGTGACTATACCAAGTATAAGGACAACCACAGGATTCAGATTTTTAGGAAAATACGGAGACAGAGTTTGTAGTCAGCGTAGAAGCTACTTCAGCCTTAGACATGAGAGAAGCAAAAGATAGGCTGGTCATCTGATTGACTTCTCTGCTCCAGGGGTACTTGTGTTAATCATAGTTGTATAGAAGAGCATGCAGAAATAGTTGCACACACAAATTTAGTATGTGATTCTATGACAAATTATAACATGAAAGATGGATATTTTCTTTTTTTATTTGGCTATTGTTTTTGAAATTTTAAATATATTTGTTAATTCTGATGATCTCCAGCTCTACAGATCCCAGAAGAGTATTCTTCTACAGTATGCTTAACATCAGAATTGATTTGTAAGCATTTTAATATAATTGTCTTGCTCGCTGTCCTGCAGTGTTAAGCTAAAATTGACTACCTCATTTCCAGTGGCGCGTCAAGTGTGTCTTTATTCTTAATGTTTTGTGTTTTGGGGGGCAGGGAGTTGTTGGCTTTGTGCTAATTTTTTTGTTTGTTGATGTCTTTCAGATGGGCCACCCAGGCATGCCACATTATCCGCCCATGGGAATGCACCCCATGGGTCAAAGACCACCTAATATGCCACCAGTTCCGCATGGTATGATGCCTCAGATGATGCCTCCGATGGGAGGACCACCAATGGGGCAGGTAAGGCAGTTTTACTGGATTTTTTTCTTTCTTTCTTTCTTTCTTCCTGTAATGAGGCCAGATAATTCCTGAGGTAGGTAAGTCTCATATAGTAGCTTGCAAATGATAACGTGAACAATTCAGGTTGTTTTATGCAGCCATGCCTATCCATGCAGAAACTCTTCTCATTTTAGTGGATAATGAAAGTGCTTCCTAGTTTTGGAACTTTAATTTTAAATTGTCATATATGTGAATCCATAGTTTATTTTTAATAAACCTTTTAGACAGTTTCCCATAGGTTTTGAAGAAGTAAGGTTGTCCTATTAAAAAGTACTAGAAACAGAAAGTAGCGATTCTTTTCGGAAGTGGTAATGGTAGAGAACTTTTTCTCTCTTTAGTTCTTGGCTAACTCTTACATCCAAGCATGGAAGACAATTGTAGGGAGACGCAGGGAAGAAACAAGATCTGAATTTTTGCAGAATTGCTTCTTGCATCCTAGGGAGCATTTATAGTTCTGTATAATATACTAGTGATGCTAGTGTAATGCACAGTTTGAAAAACAAACTTAGCTATTCAGAGTACATTTGAAAGTGGATTGACAGGAGGAGTAGCCAGGCTCATATCCATGCTTTTGCAAATTTGAAGTTTTAATTTTAAAGAAGGAAAGGTCCTTTTCCATGTAGTTTCTCATTAAATTTTGAATTTCTGAAAGAAGCAATTCTCTTCCTGGATAGAAAAAATCCTCCACTGATACTAGTAAGGTAGTGGTTTGCCGAAGTAGAGGTGGAGTGACAGTGACCGCACCAGAGGGATAGATTAGAGCAGACTAGTCAGAGGATAGCACGAAAGACTGAACCTTTGAGAAGCGCCCACAAGTGCGTAGCTGGCAACTCATTTTCTTCCTTTGCAGTACCTTGGATAGAGCATGTGTAATTTAATTTTTAAAGCTAGTGTATTCAGACTTGATAGGAGCCTCCAGCGTGGTTTTGCAGTCTGTTAGATCTTCTGCTCTAAGAATAATGCAATTTAAAAAGATAAGGAGGAGTCAACCATTATCATGACAGCTAATCATGTGAGCTTTTGTGTATGTGTATTAAATATGTCCAGCAATTCTATTTTATTCCTCTGCTTAACAATTTTTTTTCTAGTTTTTAATTCTATTGATCTTATTCTCATGTAATGAATATTTCAGTCTTAATATTTTAGGGAACAATATAAATAGAGAACTTAAAAATTTTTGGTAGATAACAGAATGAAAAGCTAGATACGTGGCATGGCAAGAGGAGATTAGAGGCTCAGTGTCCCTGTGGCCATAAGGAGAGGACAAGAGGCTGATACTTTCAGCGCAGTAGTAGTTCCAGTGCAAGAGCATCGGCCGGTGTTGCCTTGTTTGCTTGGATGCTAAGCTTTTTCTTGCAGCAGATACCAGAGATTTATTTGTGACACTTAGCAGAGATGGGCTATTCCTGTAGCTTGTTTACCTCCTTGCTGAGGTGAACCTCTATAGACAAGAAACTCCTTTACACAGGACCTTAAGCAAGAGTAACGGCCTACTGTCAGCATCGTTCAGAGGAAGGTCTCACGAAAGAGAATTGTGTCTCTTCCCATGTTTTTTTCTTTGTGGACTTTGGGTCAGTGTTCCTTGGCAACCCGGAGAAGTACATGGAGTTTCTTCAGGACCTGGGTCAGGACTTTTTAAAAGTTTCACACTCAGAGCCCCCTTTAGTTGCAAGTAGCAGTGGGGCAAGAGTGCTTTCTTCTCCTGCTTCTACAGGATGGCAAGGAGTAGGAGGGGCCGCCTTCCAGTCTTTCCTTTCTTCCTCACCCTCCCAAGAAAACCTTGTGGATTGAGGGTGGAGCGGTAGCCCTACCAAATATCCCTCTCTCCGCACAAGATGCCAGATGAGGAGAGTGGTAACCTGATGCTCCCTGAAGATACAGGGGGATGGGGTCACTTGGCCAGCCTGCCAAGGACAGTAAAAGGTAAAGGGGGATAACTGAAAGGTTGAAGGGGGTTGACTTCTCAAGACCTACTTGGGCTGAGTGGGCAAGAAATCATATTGGTAGTGATCTAAACTATGTTTTGTTGATTTTGCCCCTTTTTTTTTTTTTATGGCTCACCAGTTCTTAAAAGCCAGGATCAGCAAAAATTATGGGAGATGCACAAAATATTACAACCTTTTCAGTAACGTTTTAAACAGCTTTTCAGTGCATCAGTTTTTCTTTCCAGTGGATAACTCCTGTGTATAATGTGTTGCAGTAACCATCCCTTTAAGAGTAGAAGCATAAATATTTGAGCAAAAGCTAGCTAGTCAAAGTAGCAGTTTTGTGGGGTTTTTGTCTCATCAGACCACACAACAAACTCTGCTATAAGTCTAGACTCAGACTTTTCATTTTGTATGCTCTGGTATGTCCCTGTTACCAAATTCATGTTGTTTTAAGAGAAGTCACATGGTTTAATACTGCATATCTGCATTAATGTTTTTTTTGATACATTGTAAAAAACTGTTCAGAAGTGATTTAGAGCTTTGATATTTAAGTACGATAGCTGTCTTCATCATGAAAATGTTTGCAGAAACTCACTCTTCTAGTATCCCTGTAAAATGTTGCTTCCTATTTGCAGAGGTGAGAGGAAGGGGAGACAGGCTGAGAGTTGCCAAAAGTTGCAAACAAAACTAATCATAGACTCAGAGTTTACCTTTTCTTTGTTTAATAGCTTCTGTGTGACCTTGGAATTCTGCAGAAGTCTTTCCCACAGCCTTTAATTTTCCTGTTTTAACATAAGATTTCAATTTCAATAAGAGCGTATAAACAGATCGCTCGTCGTTTGTCATTGTTCTTTTGTAATTAAATGGTTGTCTTTACTAATATTTCATATCAGACCTTGGAATATACTATAGCCTTATTATTCCTAATGTCCACTCTGTAGGAGTGTAATGAAAGGAAGCAGAATTCTACAACTTTAACTGTGTGTTGCCAAGCGCTTAGAAGGTTTATTTGGGTTAGAAACTAGCACTGTGTGATTATTTTGAAACCAAAATATTAGATGTTAAAAGTATCATAAAGTATAAGTATATTTGAAATACTGTTTAATTATAGATGCCTGGAATGATGCAGTCAGTAATGCCTGGAATGATGATGTCTCACATGTCCCAAGCTGCTATGCAGCCTACGGTTCCGGTGAGTTTAACTTTTCTGTGTTTTAAAATTCCTTCATTTCAGTTGCTTTCATTACTTCAGTAGGGGTATGTCTCTGTTTTCTTGAATTGAGTTGTGAAAAAGGTCTTGTTAATTGAAGTTTTATCAAGCTTTTCAGTTCTTGTAAAATGATAAAGAGTTTGCTGAAACAGTTTTTTAAATTATTCTACTAAATAAGTTGTGTGTGACTGGACATACTGTATTAATCAGTCCACCCACCCCTGTGGTCTCTTAAGACCGTTAGCCAATTTCAGCCACGGTTGTGAGAGAAAGATCACAAGCGTGCTAAGCTTCTACAAGATAGGTAGAGAAGATACTGTTGAGGAAAAGGATGTAATGTCACTTTGACATGCACTAGATGATGGAGATTTCATACCAGACGATATTAATTACCTTAAAAGTGGGGAAGAGTCTTTAGTTTAATGTTTGGGCAGACACTAGAGAATCTGCCTGTTAAGTATGTTTCCCTCTGCTGTCCTCTGTTGTCTAATGGGACATGAATGTATGTTACAGCCTTAGTGTAATTTAAATGAAGTTCAGTAATTCCTGAGGCAAATTCATGGGAACCATGCTTCATTAGTTCTTGTGCTCACGGTACTACTTACTGATGCACTAAATGTTTTAATAGCTGCCTAGTAGGAAGAACGTTAGTGATTTCCCTTGTCTACCATACTGAAATCAGCATGAAGTTCTGCCAAGTGATACTCATGGCAAATTTTGAAAGAATTTCAGACCTTGGGAGAAAAACCTTTAAAATGCTATGCCCAAAAGTGATTTTTAAAAGGGGCAAGGTAATCAGTGTTAACTCAAACTAATTCTGAATATTTGTTGTATATTTTTACATAATTTTGGAGAGAAGGTAGATCTCTTGATTTCCAGATCTGTCTTGGGAGTAAACTGTGATTGAATCAGGTGTGCGCATATATGGTATTTAGGAGGCAAAGTAGCACAGTAGAGGTTTCCAACCTTTAATTTCACCCTTGCCCCTCTTGGTAGCGATAACTGGAGATGATACTTGTGTGTGTGGTATCAGAAGGCATTTATCTGTCATGGCAGCATTCTTTCACCTCCCTGCTATGGAAGGTGTACCACAACCTGCAAAGTGTTTTAGGAATGAAAAAGTTTTTTGCCCTTTTCTAATCTAAAATAATTTGTAGGTGAATAAAAAATTGTGAGCTTTGTAGCCCTCGTGGTTCGCTCAAGAGACTTCATCAGACTTCTAGCTATCTGATCGTTTTCATAGCTAGCTGATGAAAAATACACTGTCTTCTCCAAGTGTAAAATGTGATCTAAAACTTGCAGAGACCAGTTGGATTATTTATATTGATGTCAGTGCTCTTTGGTCTTTGCTGTTTTTCACGTGAGTATGTTGATCGTTCAGAACACTGTTTATGAGATTCATTATCTGTTTTGTGATTTATGTTAACAGTGTTTGCTTCCAAAAACTGATTTAGAACTAACGTAGTTCCTCGAAAGGATGACTTCAGTCAGACAAGTGCTCTTACAATGCACAACAAACTAGCAGGGAATTTGAAGAAGTAAACATAGGCACAAGAACGGAAACATTAGAAGGATTATTTATGAGCACAGGCATATGCGCATACGCACAGAATAAGCTTTAGGGTCTTAAATTTCGTGGTGATTCATCCTGCTTAATGCTGTTGGATTGATTTGAGGTGATATGGTTTCTTTTATTTTCAGCAGGTTTTTAGTTTATTGTTACGTGAGCAGTTTTTGTTAACAAAGTTCATAGAGAACTGAAAGATAAATCTTAGTGGATGATAAAGCTGTAAGCTGTATTTTTGTCTGAAGAAAAATGTTAGGAAAACTCTATTTGAATTATGTTGATCTTTTTCCTTTGTTTGAAATGTTATCAGAAGGAGCGTCTGTAAGACCTTTAGTTACTCACAAGCAGTTTTTGGAATGCAACAGATTGAACACCTCAGTACATTCAAAGGTGTATGCTTTTGGCAACATAGTTAAAACAGAATTCTACTAAGCTACTCCAGCAGAAATTCAGAATCTTGCTTCCCCTGCCGCCCCCCACCCCCCTCACCTCACCGCCCCAGAACTACCCATTTAGAAAATAAAGAGATACTGGAATGATGTCAGGAGACTCTCCAGTGTAGATTGTTGCATGTGTTGTCTTTCTGAAAATAAATTTGATATCCCTAATCATTTCTTTCAGGAGCAGTAATAATTAGGTGGGTGATGGGTGACTAGGAATCCGTATTTGAGGTCATAGAGAATTTTGTTGCTGAAAGGACTTGTTTGGATATGTACTATATTAATGCCTTAAGCGTTCAGTGCAGTTGTAATTAAATATCTGTTGATTGTTTCTACAGCCAGGAGTGAACAGTATGGATGCGCAAGTAGGTAAGTATAAGCAATCTGTTGCAATTTCAAAATATTTCACCAAAATTAGGCAAAGTACTTAAAATATTTTTTTAATTATAGTTTTATGTGCAAGATTTTTTTAATTTTTTTTTTCCAATATTCATGGAGGCATGGGAAGCAGACTGATGTAATAAAGTTCTTGGATTTTGGTGGGCATTCACAGCTTTTTAGCTTCTGAGATTACAGAACAACAGTGCAAATGTTAAAGATGAAAGATTTCTTGTCAGTACCTGTGGTTTGTCGGTGTGGATCTGTGCTCCAGTTGGTTACTCTGTCAGCTTCTCGGAATGTAGAGATTCGAAAAGTGCTTATTTAGGGACACATTCCAGTTTGTGCTTGTACTGTTTTTATAAGCTAATCAAAAGCTTACCTGCTTGCTTGAATAATGGAATGCATACATAGAAATAAACTGTGCTAAAAAATGGAGGCCAGGCTTATTTACTTTGTTCTTATCTGAACTGGAAAGGGACACATTGCATACTTTTTCCAAAGAGTTCTGAGTTGAATGTCCATCGCCATATGGAATTACAGCTTTTTTAACCTCTAGGAATAGCCTATTTAGCCTTCCACTAACTGGCGTTTTCATTGATTCCTATGAAATCTTTATGCGTTCTTTTTTTCTTTCAAACACTGTGTAATTTGAGGTTTTACTTTAAAATAACCAAACAAAACAACCAGAATCTTACTAGTTTGTTTGTTTGTTTTTTCTTCAGCCGTAGCACCACCTGGAACTCAGGTAAGTGAAAACCAAAGTCTCATAGTTTTTAATAGAAGTGTGGTGCATATTTGGGCTTACATGTTTAACATCTCTTTTTATGGAGCTTATTTACCTAACTAGCGCTGGAGATGGAGACCTTAGACTAGCAGTGTTACAATTAATAGCTTCAAATGCATTTGTTCTACTTTGTTGAATACATATGGTTTTCATGATTGGTTATTTGTGGCACAGTAGTATTTTGTTATTGAAAGGAATTTGGCTTGAACTGAAGTAGGTCTGCTTTCTGATGTGTTTCTGTTATTTTTGGAAACTGGAAACTAATGTCTGTCTTGTCTGACTCTTTGTTCTTTCTTTCTTTCTTTTCTTGAACAGCAAGCAATCGAGAACTTAGATACCTATGTTACTTTAAAACTGTTTTCAGATTGAAAACTTTGCAAGTGTCAGGCTAGACAGTTATTCAAGGTAGAGTTGGAGTTTTATTTGCGCTGACAGAGCACATTGCTTCCTTTATTTATTTTTGCTCCTTTGCAGTGATCACTGGAACAGGTTTATGTTTTACTTATGTTTGGTAACTTTGTGTGTTGCATACTAATAAATACTTTGATACGGCAGTTCTGACGTGTATAGCAGAACTCGGTAGGCCATGACTAAATTGTCTTTGTTGTTCCCTGACATAGTTGTGTTTAGCAGGGGAAACCAGGTTCAGGTTCTGGCACCGTTCAGTCCTGTGTGCTTTATTTGGCCCTTTATTAGCAGTGCGGGTTTACTGAGAGTTTTGTAACCAAACATTTCAACAATGAAAAGACAGTAGCCTAAATAGTTTATTAATACTAATTTTGAAAACATCACGGTGGTTCTTAGTGTTAAGTACTAACCTTAAAAGAATGGTTATCACTAGCACTTTGTCAATATACTTTGCTGCTACTTGGTAATTTAGCTTACCTTTTTCTCTCTCTCTCTGTCTTGACACTATTTGAAATGTTACGGTTTTACTAGCATCTCCTGTCATGCTTTGGGAACATGGCATAGTTCGGTAGCTTAAATAGGAACAAATATTGGATTGGATGGAAGGGGATTAACATTTGTTGTAAGCAGTGTGACGATAGGCAGGCAGATTGACTTCATTAAATGATTTAAAGTATGTGCTGCTTTTCCACAAAAGAGAGAAGCAACGAGTGGACTAGCACTGGCGTTGTAGCATAGCTTAATATTGAAATTTTTGGATCACAAATCAGCATGGCTCTGTAGGGAGGTGAACAGGTATCATTTGGAAGCAGTCTGGAATTTTGTCTCACTTGAGACTGTGGGCGACTATGAATAACTTTTTCAGTCGGTGTCAGACTTGTGTTTAAAAGTACGGTTATGTGTTTAAAAGACACCTCACAACGTTTTCCTTTACTGTCTAAGATGGCAAAAAAAAAAAGGTAGTTTGCTTGAACAGCTAAGTGGAATCTTTAAAAAGTCATGCTGCTTTGAAGATATGACATGTAGGTTTTTGATTGTCACTTCCAAATTTGGGAACCTTGTATGTACCTAGCTTAACTATTAAATATCAATTAATATCAATTAGCCTTTTCTTTCTGGGAGACTTGCGTTATGTGTCATTGAGCAAGATGGTTGGAACGTATAGATTTAGACTCGGAACGATGGAGTCAAATTTGTTTGGATTTTGTTTTGCTGCCTTTCTTTCAGTACTGTATTATTTAATGTACTTAAAATACACATGCAAATGAAAAATTGTAACTGGAATGTCTTTTCAGAACTCTGTTTTGTTTCGCCCTCAGACAACGCATCCCGTAGTTTGTGCAGCCCAGCAAACCACCACCACCACCAACAGTTCTGTTAATGAGGAGCATTCTAAACAGGTTTATCTGCTTTCCTCTTGTGTTAAAGTTTTATAGTGGCTTTTGAATCACTGTTATTATTCAACATTAATTACATATTTTATATTTCCCAGAAGTCTACGTGGACAGAGCACAAATCACCTGATGGAAGAACATACTACTACAACACTGAAACAAAGCAGTCCACGTGGGAGAAGCCAGATGATCTCAAAACACCTGCTGAGGTAAACTAACTTCAAACGGAAATTATTGTACTGTGTATAAGTTTGTGTGCAGGCAAGAATTTACTAGCATAACTATCATGCAGTAGGATTGCTGTGCCGATAGATATTTTTTCCATTGGGAGCACACTCTTAAAATAAAGAATGTTGCAAAAATGTTTATAAAATAGCTATCATATTCCTTAGTGAAGCTTGAAGCTGCAAGATGGGCAAAACTCTAAACAGTTTTAATAAACTTTTGGATAGATTTTTCCTTACGAAAAAGATTGCATTTTTTAATACCTGGATAAGTGAGGTGTTTGTGTCTTGCTAGAGAGAGTTTTCTTTGGGGAGTATAAGCTTGGGAAGCCTTGTATCCATGGTTCCTTAAGTTATTTCTTGGCCTGGTGTTTGTGGCTCGCTACTTTTAGCAATGTTTTTAATTTTAAAATGCCATTGTAAGTTTGTTTTGATGTTTTTGTTTTCTTTCCACCAGCAATTGTTGTCTAAGTGTCCCTGGAAAGAGTACAAATCTGATTCTGGAAAGCCCTACTATTATAATTCCCAAACAAAGGAATCACGCTGGGCAAAGCCCAAAGAACTTGAGGATCTTGAAGGTAACATTAAAGAGCTTGAGTAGGGAGGGTGGAGGAAGGTTGCAAGTTGTATGTGTGCATGATTTATGACAAGAATTTGGTATCAAAGCGTAGTGATTGCACTTTTGTTAGAAGTTAAATGCACTGGAATAACCCATATGCAATAGAGTTGATCTTATCTCTTGCGTTTTCCACCTCATCGCCACCCCTTTTTCCGTTACACCTTTTACTCCTCTGTACTTATGTGGCAGCCCCATCAGCTCCCCCTTGTGTCCCTAAGTAGCAACCGGATTAGGACTGTTAACGTGATGTGGCTTGTTCAGGGATATGGCCATGATCTGCGTCGTGGTGTGTGTGTGTTAACGGTTAGGGGATGCTTCACATCTTTCATCATTTGAGGGCTGTTACAGGATTTCACTCTTACTCAGCCACCAGTTTTGGGAAACTAGTAGGAATTTGGTATGATTTGTTAAGGGGCTCAGGTTGTTTGGGGAAAGAAGAGAGGCAACACTATAATACTCCTCATTCACTTGGGAAACCAGGACAAGAGGATGTCAGACTTTGGTAGTACCGTATAATTTACAGCTGAGTAAGATTCATATTTTGTTTTGGTGTCTCAGAAGAACTTTGAAAACAGTAATAGATTTCATAGTCAAAGCAGTGGTGCTGGCTGTAAGCTGGAAGCCAAAATCATCTGTAGGGCTTTGCTTAGGTAGTGATTTCCTTTTCATTTTTGACAAAATGCTTTGTGTTAAACTGATGTGGCAAAAATATTAGTAATATTATAATACTTTTATGTATTACTGTAATACCTTTATGTATTATAAAGGCAGTGTTCACTTTTGTACAAATGGCACATGATGATGTGCCCCTATTTTTCACTCTTAGCAGAGTTTTGTTTGATAGTGTAAGGGAAATAAGGCTTTGATAAACTATAAAATCAGCAGAAGTAAGAAATAAATGCTTAAGCGCTACAAAGAATAAAAGAAGCATCAGTGACTGTGCTTTTTAAAGTTGAAATAGTTATTTTAAATTGATAAATCATTTTTTAAATCTACTATTGCTCATTTAGTAGTAATTCTAAATTTTGTTCTAGCCTGATTTCAAAGGGCACAAACACTAAATAGTAACAGATATTTAAAGCTGTACGTCTGTTCAGTCATGTTAACATTAACTTTTTCCATTCTGTACATGAATCTCTTTTGAAGATGTATTTTGATTTTTTTTTTTCTTTCTTTTCTAGCAATGATTAAAGCTGAAGAAAACAGGTATGTTAGACTCCCTATTGTTTCTTAAACATAGAATCTAATCCTTGCATCCTAAAGCATGCTTTTTGCAGCTTGCTTTCCTTCCAAAGAGTGGTTTAATATATAAAACTCATATTATATTCCATCTTGCCCCCCCCTTTTTTTTTAACTGAAATCCTTGACCTACATATTCCTATTTAGGTGCACTGTTTTAATAAAGCAGCTCCTGTCTTAGAGCTTGTGTTGACTGTTCCTGTAATTTGAAATCTGCAGCAGCAAGCCCGAAGAATCCACTCCAACAACGGCTACTTCAGCAGCTGCAGCAGAAGCAACAAACACAACCACCACAGCCACAGCTGCTGCTGAAACTGCCGCGGCTGTTACCTCTACCGCTGCTACTACTGCAGCAACAGCAGCCTCCGAAGCAGAAGCTACTGCAGCTTCTTCTGTGGCAGAAAATGAAAGTACTGTCACAGGCACATCTGAGGACCAGGGACAGCAAGCGACTGCTGCATCTGCTGGGCAGGAGCAGAGTGCGGAAACTACAGCTAATGCAGTAGAGGACTCCTCCAAGCAGGAGGCTTCAGGAGAGTAAGAAAAATTGAAGTATTTGGCTTTGCTGCAGTTCTGTATTTCTTCTAGGATCTGGTTTGTCTTCAGTTATAGGTGGCCAGGCTTCTTTGACAGCTGGCCGTTTCTGTGAAACGGGAGCATGACTCAATGGTAACAGGCAAGAACAAATAAGAAAAAGGAGGAGGAGGATCAAATCTGTTGTAAAACAAACAAACAAAAAAAGTTATTACTTCCCACCGTAAAACTCTTAAATCCTACAGAGAACCACTTGTGGCTCAAGTACTTCACAAACTGATGGTAGCTGGAAGAATTTCCTGGGATAACATATGCTTACTGTGTATGTTTCCCCTTCCATAGATCTCTGCAATTGGCTACCGTCAGAAGAAAATGCAGTGCTGGATAGATTTTGTCTGATCCACCATGGATGATTTTCTATATCCTCTGTTAGTAATGGAGAGTAGCTCATGATTTTATCATTCAAGCCAAAAACGAACAAGCTACGGGGGATTATAGCCAGAAGGAGATAATTAAGGCCGGGAGGGGTAGTTTTAGGCACTCCCCTTCCTGTTGTGCTTATGTATATGTTATTTGCACTCCTTGCTAAATTTCAGGGTTGCATTTCTGTGGATAGTTTTATAAATAATTTGAGCAGGTAGCCAGCTGCGTAAGTGATAATACTTCCCTAAAATAGTCTTACTAATTGCGTTTGCTGTCTGTAATGAAAAGTGTCGTACAAATTATGGTCTTTGACATGTTTTTTTTTCTTTTTTTTTTTTTTTTGAGTTACTAAAAAAAAATACCCCAGCCTCAAAAAATGTATCCAATTATGGTGTTTTCTGACTCTTTAGTGACTGTCACTTAGAAAAAAAATGCCTAAATAATAAGATTTAGCAATTTCTGTTTATAGCGGTGCTTCAAAGAAAGAGGAGGAGGATGCCCAACCAGTTAAAAAAACCTATACGTGGAATACAAAGGAAGAAGCAAAGCAAGCGTTTAAAGAACTATTAAAAGAAAAGGTATTTCAGTCAGTGTTTCTTAATGCTTTATAGAATTACAAAAACTGCCTTTGCCAGAAGTTGCTAGTCTACTTCTTTTATAAAAAGGTGTCCCAATGTTGTGGAAGATAACTTTTGTACTAGACAAGAAACAAGGGAAAGAACATCGTAGTGAAAACTATATATAGGTTAAGCCATTTTCAGAAACTCTTTGGTTGAGGGAGGGTGTTGAATTTTCTCGGGTTCTTAGTTTGATTTCTTTTTATTATTGTCTTCCTTTCACGTGATCTCTACACTATCACGTAAAGGAATACTGTCGCATTTATCCAGAATCCAAAGCAGGACTGTGAGTATTTGTGGAGGACGCCAACAGTAGATACTTCAGTGACAAACAGTGTAGAAATCCCTCCGGAACAAGGAAAAAGTATTGGGTTTAGCATGCGATGTTCCCGTAGCATTGCATTTGATTTAGGAGTAAGGAATGAGAATGAACATTAAAACACTTATGTCGTTAAGTCAGTTTTCCCCCTACTTTCATAAATTCTTACTGAAGCTAATTTCATTTAAAGGCAGAATTTTTCTTTCATAAAGCCATAGTTCTGAAACTCTATTTAAGTGTTATTACAATTATAAACGTACCTCACCGTTGAACAAAAATTTTGGTAACTGAAGTGTTGCCTGATACCTGGTCGCTAAATTTGTTATCTTTGTCCTAAAGATGGAGGCGAGATGGGAGTCAAAGCAGATTACCTTGGTTTTCCCTTGGTGTAGACAGAATCTGCTTGTGTTCTTTCTAGTGAGCAGTAGTAGTAGGAAAATTTCCGAAAGAGTTCATGTGAAAATGGCAGTAATCTGGAAAGTACCATGTTTCATTTTCCTTGTCGAGTGTTTAAAAAAACAAACAGAATTTTATAACGAGCATTGTTGTCTTTGTATGCTAATGCCTGACATAATAAAAACCTACTGTGAGCCTCGCCCCAAAAGTTCCATAGTCTACTACTACTTTTTTCTAATGACTGTTTTCTTAAGGAATCTGTCATTGTTGGATGTTTGTGCCAAATCTAATTAATAATAATTTAATGTCTTCACAGCGAGTACCGTCCAATGCTTCATGGGAGCAAGCTATGAAAATGATCATTAATGATCCTAGATACAGGTAGTGCTTGATTCCTTTCTCATTGCATTTGTACACAGATACTATTTTAGGTACTTTGACTTTACTGATGTAACTTTTGACTGCTTTGATAGATGTGTGTGTGTGTTTGTGAGTGGGTGCTATTGGCCAAGGCACTGTGTTACTTCATTAACTAAAGATTTGCAAGTCCTAGGTTTAATTTCTTTGATTCGGGAAAGGCGTGGGAGGAGTTGGTTGTATCGTATGTGATTTACATATTTTCCTTGGAAATAGAAGCACTTTTTTATAGTGATGGTGCTGAAGACTTTCTAGGTTACTTTTTGAAATTGGTGCTGCTATTCACATTGACAGCCAAGTGGCTGATATGCCTGATAATATAATATTCTGTGAGATGTGTAATTGCAACCTGAAACTGTGATTTTTGTTTTCTCTTTTATTATTTAATGCTTATTAATAACTGCTTGTCTTTATTATGCTTTAAAAAAAGCAACTCTCAATAATCTGAGGGAGATGGGGTGATGGTCATTTATATTATGCTTACTTTTGTCTCAAAAGTCTGGATTGTTCAAATTTTGTTTTCTTTGGCTCTTCTGCTTTGTCTTTCTAATTTAAGTCCTTTTTTATAATTGCTATTGCTGTGATTTTTTTCCCCCTTGATATGAAGTGCTTTGGCAAAGTTAAGTGAAAAAAAGCAAGCCTTTAACGCTTACAAAGTTCAAACAGAGAAAGAAGAAAAAGAAGAAGCAAGATCAAAATATAAAGAAGCTAAAGAATCCTTCCAGCGTTTTCTTGAAAACCATGAAAAGATGACATCCACAACAAGATACAAGTAAGATCAATCTTGAATGAAGTTCTAGCCCTTGCTAGCTTGCCAAGTTTATCCTTGAGTTTTTCTGGCTTGCTATTGGTGAATGCTAATCTTCGTATAATGCTCAGCCCTTGAAAAGCCTGCAACTAAAATATTTATAGGAACACGAATATTCTCATATCTTTTAAAAATCGGGCAGAGAGCAGCTCAAATGTGTGGTGGTGCTGATGGACGACGATGTGCTCGTGGCTTGAGCATCAAATAACTAGAAATGAAAGAAGACATTGAGAGGTGTTTCATATCACAGCTGCCATTAGGAGAAAAGTAGATTCTCGTAGCTTGTTCTTAGGAGTCTAATGTACTGTATGAATGCTATTAAATTTTTGTACGCCTAACACCAAGAATCTCTTTGGAGGTGCAATTGATGACCTTCTGAGCAGCGGTGGAACTTTCTGAACTTAGTTGTGTAAACCTACTGTGTATACATAGCACACATAATAAGACCTATGTGTAGCAATAGGAGCGTGATAGGCCTGTCAGTCTTTTAAGCCCCTGGTAAATAGCAAGTCAGAAAATTAGGGAGCTGCTGTACAAAAGCATTACTGCTTATAATGCAGTTATAATGCAGTTGATCTGTGTTATTGTAAGCCAGTGGGATGCTTTAAATTAGTGTTTGCCAATAAATTATGTGCTTTTTCTCTTTATTTTGTGTAGAAAAGCTGAACAAATGTTTGGGGAGATGGAAGTCTGGAATGCCATCTCTGAGCGTGATCGTCTGGAAATTTATGAAGATGTCTTGTTTTTTCTGTCTAAGAAAGAGAAGGTAACTCTCTTCCAAACCTAATTTTTCACTTGTTATCTGTAAAATGGTTTATACCACTTAGGAAAACAATCTTGCAAGCATCGTAGGATCTGTAAAAAAGCCAATTCAGCATGTTGTTCAGGGACAGTCAAAATGCGAACAGAAGGGGAGGAATCTGTAGGAAAGGCACCTAGAATGAAGTGGAAGCACTGTTACATTACTGTGAACTGCATACTGGTTATAGAGAACAGGTCAGGATGCTCCCTCTCCAAAGGGAGAGAACTAGGAAAGGTAACAAAAGGCAGGCAAGGCTTATCACCTGTGAGACACCGTATTGTAGACAGTGCTCTTCAGTTTATAAAGATGTGATGGGGGAAGGGAACAAGGAAAGAAGTACTGATGGAACTCTTCAAAACTCACTAGTCTTGGAGAAGTGAATTTGAAGACAGTTCCTTATTTCTTATTATACAGAATGCAAGAGGCATTCAAATAGAGTTAGCAGGCGCAATATGATTACCTAAATAAACCATAGGAAGTTCAGTTTCTGCACAGTGTATAGCTGCAGTTGTAGAACTCACTGCTGCAAGATAACGTTCTGGAGATCAGAATTTCCTGAAAAGCTAACGGTCTGAAACTGGGCAAGCATGCGAAGGGTAGATCGCTTTTCTGTTCTCATAATCTTTCCCTAACTCATTGTATTCTGGTGGCAGATGGACAAGGTAAACCTCTGATTTCACCCAGTATTGCAGTTATAATAGCAGTTTTTTGAAAGGCCCTGCTGATTTTTCTTACTGAGATAGGTTGCTGTGAATTCTGTTACGTGTTTAATTTTTAGTATGGTTTTAACAAATTAATGTGATTTTTTTTGTTCTGAACTGCTCTGAATCACATGGTGAAACTGTCATGGGCTAGACCCTTGTTACAGAAAGTTATATTTCCTTTGACATCAGTGGTTACTGTACTGACTTTGAGGGTTTGGCCTGAATTATATCTGATATGGTCAGTCCTTCTCCACTGAAATTTAGTAGCTGCCTTACTGTGATGCTAACACTTATCAGCATCTGTGGACAGATAGTCTTGCTACACATTTCATTTTTAATAGCATACCTGTTTCCTATTTCTGAAATTCTGATGTAACTGAGACTAGTGTTAAGGTCCAGGTTTGCCAAAAGAAACAAAACAAAACAGAAAAAGCAAACAAAAAGAGTCCACACAGCACTGCTTAAGTTCTGTGATTAGCGCTTGTTTTAGCTCTATTCTTCAATAGTACAGTGGACCACAGAACTTCCTTGCAGCACTGACTTTTTGCTGAATGTACTGGCAGTTTCCTAGCCGTATTCTAAAGATGAGCTGTGTTTTCTGAGCTTTTCTCATCTATTGGGAATAGTTAGAGATTATAGTGTTAAAATTACGTATATGAGGATGACAGTGATAAAAGTATATTAAAAGAAAAAAAAATATGTAGGTCCAAAATGTATCGCATTGCTTTATATGTAAATAAAAGGTTAATTTTGTGTTTTGAGAGCATACTGAGGATCATGTGTTTTTGTCTATATACAGCGTCACATTTTTAAAAAACTTGCTTATTTTTCTCAGGAACAAGCCAAGCAGTTACGAAAGAGGAACTGGGAAGCTTTGAAGAACATATTAGATAACATGGCTAATGTCACTTACTGTACAACTTGGTCAGAGGCTCAGCAGTATCTGATGGACAATCCTACCTTTGCAGAAGATGAGGAACTTCAGAGTAAGTAAAAAGTCTGTGAATTCCTTCTGGAAGAAGGAATGGATCTGTTTTAGTAGTTGAGGACTCCTGCCTCCTGGATACGGCCTGTCCAGTCAGCAGCAGTGATAAGTACTGAGCAGCCTGTATAAAGGAACCTATCTTTTTTAGCTCCTAGGGAATGGATATCGGCCTCAGAAACCTTTCCTGATTAATCTTAGTGGCAAAGCAAGGGATATCTTGTCATGGGGGTTGAAATTTGAAGGATTATTTGACAAAATAACCAGTGTTGCAACCGCTTAGACTGCCTTCTGCTAGAGCAAGGCCCTGCTGTGTTTAGCATTGCTTTCCTAGAAAGAGTAATCCTCATCTAAGTTTCTAAATTCGAATGGAACTGCAAAATAAGGATAGGAAGGTAGTTTTTTCCTTTGAGCAGATTTTTCTCGTAAATGACTCTTTCTTTTAAGAGCAGTTCATGACTTTATGCAACTGTTGAAGTATTTGACAAAGGTTTCCAGTGTTTTCTTTTGTCTTGTGTCTGTAAGACACGTGGAAATGGAGTAGGAGACACAAGTGCTCACCCATAATGCTTTTCTCATAAAGACGTCTATGTTCCATGTTGTCAGTGATACTTCAGCAGCAGTTTTTTTGTTTTGTTTTCTTCTCCGTGGGTTTTCCTATTCAGTGTTCAATATCTCTTCCCCTCACTCTGTGAACAGTAACAATTGGTTACAGTTATTTCTCAATACAAAACTTTCTACAGTTTAGTAGGAAGAAATGACTAATTTGTAATCTTACTCCTCTCTTGTTTCCTCTTGGTAGATATGGATAAGGAGGATGCACTGATCTGTTTTGAGGAACACATCAGGGCATTAGAGAAAGAGGAGGAGGAAGAAAAGCAGAAAAGTTTGCTTAGAGAAAGAAGGCGACAGCGTAAAAATAGAGAGTCTTTTCAGGTTGGTGAATCCCTTTCTGAGCTAAACGTTTCACAGCTTCTGATATTGCTTGTGCTTTATAATGTCTTAGAGGGTGGTTAGTGGGTGCATGTAATAAATCGGTAATCGGGAGCTGAAGAGTATTAGGCTGGCTAGAATACCAGTTGTGTGTTGGGGTTTTTTATTACGTTATTAGTGTGTTTGCCAAACAGAACAGTTGCATGCATGTGAATAAAACTATACATAGTAAAGCTAGCTTTCGGGGCTGTTTTGTTTTCTCTTAAATCACCTATTGATCTGCTTAAATATAATCCTGTAAACTGTGAAGTGCAGTATGTGATTGTAAAACTGATTGGACAAAAAGATGCCTAAAAAAAAAGTTCTTTATATCACCAGTTTTTCTTCACTGTACATTGTTACACTATATTAGTCTTCCTTCCTTCCTCCTGACTAGACCTTGGCCCTTTTGTTTTGAGTATTGCAGACTCACATGCTTGAGTGGCATTCTAACCAGTTTTGGTGATTTGAGGGGGAAAAAAATCTGAATCATTTTGTGTGCGGTATAATAAATCTGCTGGATAACTGCTGAGAGTAGGGGAGAGTAAGAGCAAGTAGATTTGAATGGTAAGGAAATCCAACTGGAACACTGTAAATGGGGGAGGAAATCAGGAAGAAGTGATGATATCTGAACTTTTTAGATCACTTTTTAACCAAAACGGAATTTCAGTAATCAGGAGTATTTTTTTCCAGCTGTTAGCAAAGTGATATGTGACTACAGCTTCCCATTTTACTTGTATTTGGCAGATATTTTTAGATGAATTGCATGAACATGGACAGTTGCATTCAATGTCCTCTTGGATGGAGTTGTACCCAACCATAAGCTCTGACATCAGATTCACTAATATGCTTGGTCAGCCTGGTAAGAATACTTTCTTTTCTTACCTGTCAAAAGTAATATGCAGATTTTTGGGGCAGAATAGAGCTGGGTTAGTTGTTTGGGGTTTTTTTCTGAATTTTAAAGAAAATGCAGCTCTTTTACTAGAGCTAGCTTTTGACTTATCTAGTTTTTTCATCAGGATCAACAGCGCTTGATCTTTTCAAGTTCTATGTTGAAGACTTGAAAGCACGTTACCATGATGAAAAGAAGATAATAAAAGATATCTTAAAGGTGAGGGGAGAAAATGCTCCACTGTGTGCTTTATTTTTTAATACCAATATGTTCAAGTCTGTGAAACCAGTAATTGAACTCTTTGCTACTGGGAGATGGGATTGCACATTGTGTTAATATCATGTATGTTAGAGCTAATTGGAGGGTCCTGACTTCCCTGATGACAAGGAGGCAATTTTCTTTCAGGATAAAGGATTTGTGGTTGAAGTGAATACTTCTTTTGAAGATTTTGTTACGGTCATCAGTTCAACTAAAAGAGCTACTACTTTAGATGCAGGAAATATCAAACTGGCTTTCAATAGTGTAAGTATTAATATATAGAAATGTTTAAAAAATTCTAAAATGAAATCCCTTATAAAACAGGAATTGGCATTTATTTTCACTGCATCTTCTTTTGTGTTTTGACTATTTGCATAGTATTTGAGAGATGCTGTGCTTTAGAGGTGCTTATCCTGATATCAGTTCCCAAATACAAACAGCAGAGGTAGATTTTTATTCAGAATATAAATATTCCACCTTGAGAAAAGTGAAATTTTTTAGTAGGAATTAAATAATGTCTTCACGTTTGTATGCAATTCTTCTTATGAAGGATTTATTTTTTTTTTCTTGTTCTGTAGCTCCGGCTTGCGTTAGATGTTAGTTGTCTTCCAAATTATCTTCTAGAAACAACAATTGCATGCTTTAAAAATAAGCAATTGAGTGGCTGATTTCCTGTAGGGCTGTATGACAAACAGGAAACTCTAAAGCTGAACTATTGGTGGGCTTTCCCAAGAATGAATGAAACTGAACTATTAGTCTTCTCTTTTGATGTCTTTCAAACGTTCTCACAACTTTTATTTGATGTAGCTGCTGGAAAAGGCAGAAGCCCGTGAAAGAGAGAGGGAAAAAGAAGAAGCCCGCAAAATGAAGCGGAAAGAGTCCGCGTTCAAGAGTATGTTGAAACAAGCTACACCTCCAATTGAATTGGATGCTGTCTGGGAAGATGTACGTATTGTCACTTAATTAGGAATTTTTTTATTATATTCAACAGGCTGTTGCATACTAGTGTTCTTACAAAACCTAGATTTTCTAAGCTGTAGATCTTCCAGTGTTTCTCCATTTATATAAATTTAAACCTATCAGAATAGTCCTGGTTTTTCTTCAGTAAACATTTGATGCGAATAACTTTATTAATAATTCTACTGATACTTCAATTTGCGTACAATTTTAAAAAAAAACACGTAAAACGTCAAAACTTAACTTTAAACAGAGCATTCTACTTGGTTCAAAACTTGTAACTTTTTGTTCTATTTTTAATCTTTAAAAATCTTCCCTCTCAAAATATATTTTATATAAAATTGCATGTTTTACCAGGCTTGTGTAGCTTAAATGTAGCTTAAAACAGTCTGATTCTGTATGGCTACATCTGTTACAGTTTTGACTGCATACTGTCTTGGTTGGATCCTTCCTTAAATGTGAAGCTGGCATTAAAAAAAAAGTTTAACCTTATAACTGTACAGTCTCTTTCCGTAGGTGAAATCATGCTTATGTTTGTTAACTTTTAAACGGCTGCATTTCATGTTAGCGTTTCATTGTTGCCGTTTGTACAGATCAGGGATAGATTTGTGAAGGAACCAGCATTTGAAGACATCACTCTAGAGTCTGAAAGAAAAAGGATATTTAAAGATTTCATGCATGTCCTAGAGGTACTGCTTACTTTATTTCTTCCTAATTAGAGAATATTTTAAGAATTCCCTTAGTTGATTGGCTCTTAAAATATACAGAAAGGGAGAAGGATTTAACAGAATTCTACTGAACTGCATTATTTAAAAGTACAGATATTAAAGCCTTTTTCTTAGTTAACTTGAGTTTTGATTTTGAAATATGTACTCTTTGGGGTTTTTGTTTATTTTTCTGGAGTTTTCAAGAGGTTTTTAAAATGGCACAATTTCAGGTTTATCAAAGCAAGGTATGCACTATGTTCTTGGCCAATTTTGAGCAAGAGCTTTGAATTGGAAGCACTGAAGCAGTGGTCCAGGTGTACGTTGTAGAAACTGTGTGCATTCCAACCCAAAGCTGTATGTTTCCTTGCTTGTTACTACAACTTTAACGTTGCAATACCGATAGCTTTTTACGTATTTGTAAACTGCTAGCAGTAGGTGCTATTGGTGCTTTATGCACGATGAGAAACATCACTACAGCTTCTTGCTGTGACCTATAGACCAATTATAACATTTAGATTCTCTTGTATTCCAGCATGAGTGTCAGCATCATCATTCAAAGAATAAGAAACATTCTAAAAAGTCTAAAAAGCATCACAGGAAGCGATCTCGCTCTCGTTCGGTAAGTTGTTTCGTCGTGTGTTGAAGTCTATTTCTGTAACTTACTTGTAATGCTGCCTTGTTGCTAAATTCATTGCTTTGCATTTCAAGGGCACGGAGTCTGAGGATGATGATAGCCATTCAAAGAAGAAAAGGCAGCGTTCAGAATCTAGATCACTTTCTGATCGTTCTTCCAGTGCGGAATCTGGTATGCGATTTTTTTTTCGTTTGTTTGTAAATGAGTGTTATTGTTTTGTTGCTGGGTCTTGATGTTTTTTTATCGATGTCTCTTTGTTTTTCCTTATGTTTGCAGAGAGAAGTTACAAGAAGTCAAAAAAACACAAGAAGAAGAGCAAGAAGAGAAGACATAAGTCAGTAAGTGCTGCTAGCTGTTTCTGAGCTGGCCAATGGATTCAATACCTTATGCTTGCAGTAATCCTTTTTAGGTGTTTGCGGTTGTCCAGCTGCCTTTATAATAGACTGTGTGAGACCAGGCATGAGAAGGATTTTGGTAGCGTAACAACTTCTATCCTGTATAAAATTAAATCATTCAAGACTTAAATTTGTGGTTTTTAACTACAACCATTCAAACAAACTTAAAAGACTGTACTAGTAGCCTGGCATTTGCTGTTTATTGCCACTGCAGTCCTTGAAGTCCACTATTACCATGGAGTGCTGGAAAGGATCACAGTTGTTGGTTTTTTTTTTTTTTTCTTCCCTTTTGCTTCATGCTAAGCAGTGTTCCTTTTGCCTGCTTGAGTATCAGAGTATTTTGTTAGAAGTTCTGATATCAAAGGGCCTGGGGCCTCAAAAGACCCTACAGAATAGAAAGCAGGCTTTCATTCTGTGTGTTAGTTGAGGCCAAGGAATACATATGTTGCTACAAAACTCCTCAAAACTGATGCGTTCTTTTGTTTCTGTGATTTCTTTCTTAACACTTAGCTGTGCCCCTCAGTGGCAGCCCTCACAAAGGGAGGAAGGGCAGTAGTTGTTAGGCATTTGGGTAAGATAGTAATTTACTAACTGCTGCAACAAAAACAGGGCCACATAAACTTAGCAACATTGAGATAAAATATGGAATCACAGCACCAGTCACAGCACCTAATCCCTTTACTATATGGTTTAATATTCCAGTAAAAAACCAACAAGCATTCAAGTATGGCCAGCCAGCCATGTAACAGAAGAATGTTTACCAGATCTCACCCCTTCCAGAGGTCTTACTGAATAAAATGGCATTTGTGTACATAGAGATTTACGTGTGGCATCCAGCATGCCCCGTCCTTGCATGCAATGAGAATGGGGAAAGTTGTGTGCTTAACAAACTCCCTACTCGTGTTTTCAAATCTCTTTAGTAGTGTTTTTGCATTATTTCTGCCATGATTAATAGCATGCGTTTAATTAGGAACCACTTTGAGCAGTTACTTTCTAATACAGCCTATATTAAAATGAAGAGTTTGGTTTTTTTGTCCCCCCCTCCCCCCCAAGTTGTGGGTATTGGATATATAAATTATTCAGTGTGTTAAGAAAATGAGTGTGCAGAGGCTTTAATATTTTTCCCTTTATTTACACAGGATTCACCAGAATCAGATATTGAACGAGAAAAAGACAAAAAAGATAGAGAGAGAGAGAGTGAGAAGGATAGAGCTAGACAAAGATCTGAATCAAAACATAAATCTCCTACTAAAAAAAGACCTGGAAAAGATTCTGTAAGCTTTCTTGTTTCCATTTTATGTTTATATCAGTGGGATGCTGTAATACAGTACACTTACTTTATAGATTGATAAAGGGTTTACTTGCTTAAGAGTAAAGCTTTATTTATGTTTTGGTCCATTTATATATAAAATGGACCAAATGTTCCAGCAACACTTAAAATCATACAGATCCTATGCCCTCATTTAATATTTTGTTATTGACGTATGAAATTACTGTTTAGTTAAATGCGATTTACTGTTGTTACTTGATGTAAAAGTGTGAATGAGGTCTATTATTTTATTGAAAGTATTGAAACATAGTCCATGCTGTTACAAAATAGCATTTATGATTAAAACAGGGAGGTGGGGGACATCTGACTTGCCTAGACTGATCTAAAAAGTGATGAGCAGCACAGCTGGTGAAACACACCTGCATAACGCTTTGGCGCATGCATTCTAAAATTGTTCTAGTTCTGTCATTGTTTTAGTAGTTGTAGTGCTGGCCTGGTGCTAGTTTGACACTGGAAGAAAGTTTTAGTGGAACAACGTTCTCCAATTCCTAGTCTTTTCAAGTTGGTAAATCGTGGAAGTGTGCTTGTGACCATAATCTTGCTTTTTTGTCATGGTTTTCTGTGTAGGTTGTTTTCAGAAGTGTTTAAAGCAGTATTTTCAAAGACACGTGCATAAATGTTTGAACAAGAAAAAAAAAAATTGGGGGGCGGGGGTTCAAGGCCTTTGGGCAGCTCTTCAAGGAGAATTACTTGCATCGCTCCGGTTAGGTGGATTGTGCAGCTGGTGTGTCCTTCTGGATAACATCCCCCTGTGCCTCCCATCTTCTGAGAGGAGATGGGAGGGCAGATGTCTGCTTTTTATATTATCTTCTTAAAATAATCAGCTTTGGCCTCCACATGCCTTTGAAAATCCCAATTGCGTGTCCTAATGTGGGCATCTTATATTGAGAATGTGAACTCAGATGTAATTAAGCACACGCAGGCTACATCGAACTTCGGATCTGAGTTTGCGATTGCCCCTTCTCCCTCCCCTAGCCGATACTCTGGCCGCTGCTGGCAGAAGCGTTGGCCCAAACGTTGCTGCCTAAGAGGGGCTAAGAGGGCTCGTGAGCGTTGTGTTGGTACAGTCTAGAAATGGCTTAAACAGAACGGTGTTTACAAGCACCAGTGACATCAGAAACACTGTACTTCAATATTTTTATTATTAGCAATGCTTGTAACGAAATCGTGCTGGAAATTAGAGTGGTTGTCTCTGTCCTTTTCTGTAGGAACAGCTGCAGACCTGTGTGTGTTGTGCAGAATAGGACCTCTGGGATTTAAACCATGAAAGGGCACGGCAGGAGCTGTGAGCCTTCTGCAGAACGTGCTCCCTAGTTTCCTGACTGTATTCCTGCTAGGGCTCTCGGGGTGATGGCGGGACACATGCTCTACCTCCAGTGAGTCAGTGCAACATAGAAAATAAATTGTTCTTGCCATTAACCTTACTTCTCTCTGCAGGGTAACTGGGATACCTCTGGCAGTGAACTGAGTGAAGGGGAGTTGGAAAAACAGAGGAGGACGCTTTTGGAACAACTGGATGAAGATCAATGAGAACATTATTTATACCAAATATGTTTACATTGTGGCATAATAAAAGAAACCAATGTCTAATTCAGGACATGGGTTCTGATATCCCGAGTTCCATTGTTGAAATAACAGTGGGTTTTAATTTTACCGCATAAATACATTCGAGTACTATTATTACAGGCCTGGCATCAAATCTAGAAAAGCAAATGAAATTGAGTTCAAAGTTGAATGTCTGTCCTGGACCTACTAGGCAGAATGTGTATTTTGCTCACCATGGGGCCCTTTGAAGGGAACAACATGACGGAAGAGGTTTCAGTTTTGACTGGGTCCTGTGTGCAGGCTAAGGAAAGTGTTGGCACCTTTCTAGCAAAGCATCTCTTAAATTAGGTCCTTCCTAGAAAGGTGGTAGCACTGACTTTCCCTGGCCAGTGGGCAGATGAAACTTCCTTTTTAGAAAGAGATTCCTAATATAGCTTCTTGTGGTTTAATTTGCTTTATTGATTTGTTTATGTTTTGAAAGGGAAGGGCAATGGGAAGGGGAGCAATGAATCCATTTCTTGATCTGGAGTACAGAAAGTATCAAAAAGTGGAATTGCTTTTTTGTGAACGGCATTACTAGCCAAACCAATTCTGAGCCTTTCTTTGAAAGAAAAGACTTCCTGCCTTGAGATTCATGTCTAAACATTATCTTGGAGCGAATTTTTATGGTAAAGTTTTAAACCCCCTGCAAATGAGGTTGGAAACGTGACAGGCCCTTCATTGCAGTGCCGCTAGAGGGGGCTGCGTAATCAGAGCCCCCTGTTGTATTAGGGTAAAACCTGATACATGAAATGGCTATGGACGTTACTTCAGCGTTTATCTTCACGTTAAGAATTTTTTTTTTTTAAATCAAATTGTAAATTAATTTCAATATGTTGCCTTAAGAACCTGCTGAGGAATGTACCACCACGTTCTCAACAGCAGCTGCAGTGTCTCTGTCCAGAACATCACTGTTGGCTTAAACCCTTCCTTAAAAAAGGAAAAGGGAGCAGCTTAACCCCTGTCTCCTTCTTGGTTGCCTCCGACCAGTTTGCTTTGCGGAAAGTTCTGTCAGCCCTGCTCAGTGACAAACATCGACTGCTGTGGTACACGTTCTGAAACTGTCTGATTTGAATATTTTTGTACATTTTTATCAATTATTAAACCTTGTCTCCTAGCGTGTACTAGTATTTATTTCTAGTTTTAAATACTCTGTACAGCTCTGATAAAATATTGCTATCTTCTGATTGTTGGACTTAAGCAACATATGTTCACACAGAAAATGAGGACTATGTTTAGAGTTCAGGCTCCTTTTCAGTGTAATTTTGTTTTCTAATATATGACAGCTAGTACAGAAATTCCCCAAAAGCTCCGATCAGTTAAAGTCTGTAGCATTCACGCAGCATATATTAGTGCTAGGGTGGTTACGTGATTCAGACTTCTTAAGAATACAATTTGAGATTGAAATTATGCATTTGAAATATAAAATGTTGGAAATATCTGATCTGCTGTACTCAGC